TTCACAGTTTCAGATATACCAACTACTTGGGACTAATATATACCGCCTACTTGAGCCTGGTGCCTAGATTGACACCATCTGCTCTGTCCCAGTTGTCCATGGGCAATGAGTTCAGAAGGAGGAACTTAGGTCATTTAGAATATCTAGGAGGCAATAGCACACCTTCATATTTTCCCCAAGTGAAACAGTTGTGTTTTTTATTGAACATTTGAGTCACTGACTTCACTACCTTCTATTAATCTCAGGAGAGCTATGCCTATTATCTCACAAATATAAACCTTTATTTACATAATCACTTCTGAACTCAGTCTGTGAATTTCTATACTGTTAAACGCATCATCTATTTTGAACTTTATCTAATATTTAAAGGGTGTATAAAAATTGGCCTGCACCTCTGGTGCAGGATACTACAAGAATATTCCTTTGAAAGCAAATGTTTATATCTTCTAAAACCCAAAGATCGTGAACAGCTATGTTATGTTTTCAATAACCAGACTCATAAAGTCTTATACCTAGTGAAGATTATTAACAGTGTTAAAATTAAAATAGAGTATATTCATAGTTTGCTAATAATTATTAAGATCTGCTGAAACAGTATATTTTATGCTGGAAACAGGTATTTATTTGCTAAATCTGGCATGTCAGCACTGTATGCCTACGTCTTCAGGTTTTGCCAGGTATAAAGTAGACAGAAACATTTGTTAAGTGAATGAATCAAGCAACAGTTCTAATCTCAAGGAGTTTCTACACAGGTAGGAATATGAGAGAATGGAAATACAAGATAAGTGCCACAGTAGTGACACTAATATGTTAAAGAAAAGACAACATGGAAGGAAGTGGTATTGCAGATAAGAATGAATTTTAAGTCACATAATCTGATTTCAAAGCCCTGCTCCCTTGACAACTAATTAGATGACTTTGGGCATTTCTCTCTTGAGCCTTAGATTTCGCGTATTGAAATGGTTATAATCAAAGTCCATGACTTGCCATCGTATTGCTACTTTAACAACTAAAATAAGATTTGAGGGCTAGGGGGAATCATGAAAGAGTTTGAAGGAAAACTGGACTGTAAGGTGAGATTTTAAGAACAGGTACAATTTCAGATAAATGAAGAAAAAGGAAATGAATCTTGATTCTAGCTGTAGTGAAGAAAACAGTAGAGAAGAAAAGCGCTTATGTGTAGGAAGTAGGTGCTCTGTGTAGTATGGGGAAAGACAACTGTGCCCTTGAATAAATCAACAGTGAGGATTTGACTGTATTGCATATGGGGGTGAATCAAGGATAAGTGCCCTGTTTCTAGTTTGTGAATCAAGATGGAGAGTAATCCAATTCATCAAAGCAAAGAAAATGAGAAAAACATCAGATTGGGAGAGTGGTAAATCAAGAGTTCTGTGCATGATAAGTTGAATTGCTATAGCTTTTTGACATTAACATGGAGTTCTTAAGGAATCTGTTGAGTATGTTGAATGTATTGATCTGGAGCTAAAGGTTTTAATTAGAGAGGTGATTGGTATTCAGGAGGAGACTATAGAAGCAAACACACCAAGAAAGGGATATTCCACAAGCCTTGCATGATCAGAGAGTTCTGGTTGCCAGAAATATTACATAGGATGTATATATGGAGTTTGTGGATGGGGAGATGACCTTGGAACTAGAACCATAAGAGAGGTCTGCTGCTGAAGAAGTGGGTTAAATTTTTTTCAACTTGGTTGTAGTATTTGAAGCCCTAGGAGTATATGAAAAGTATGAGGGAGAAAGCATACATTAGAAAGAGAATGGAGACTTGGCAGAGGGCCTCATTTACATAGTAGAAGGGAAAAAAGGAGCTGAAACAGGAAATGAAGAAGGCATGAGTCAGTGGGAGAAAACACTAAGTATAACTTCATAGGAATTGAAGGATGAAAGTTTGAAGAAAGAGCCTGTGAACAGTTATAAGAGACACCAAGAAGAGACATGCCCCATGAGATTGGAAATTTTACAACAAATGAAGGTAGTGATGGAGGCTACAGTCAATTTGCCAGGAGTTGGTAAAATCTGTAGATATTTCTCAAAATATTCATTGATTGTTTTCTGAAGAATCCAGAATCTTTCTAAAAATCATTATTTCTTTGTTTCTGGATTCAACAGAATATCAGAAAAACAAAATATTTTCTTTTTGTTTTTGCCACTATAATGCATACATGTAAATATGTTCTAAATCTATATGATGTTAGTAATAGATGTTAACAATTCTCTGAATTACATCAAGATTAGTATCTCCATTTCCAGCTGAATAGTCTAAGGCTAAAGGGACATCATGTGACTTGTCATATTCATTCCAGTAAATCAGAAACAAAACGGGTCTATCATTTTACATGAATAGCACTTGGAATGTTTTCCAATTTGCCTAAAAGAAGAGTTTCATTATCAGAACATTTTTCCACAATTTATTTTTAAATAAATTACAGCAAAGAAAAACTGTGGTTTGTTAATTATAACCACATGAAAAAGTTGCTTCCAAAATTATTAAAAGCATTCTTCTCTCCCTTAAATCAATGCTGACATAAGATTCAGAGATAAAATTCCCTTTTTGTATTCTGGTACTGTGTAACTCAGAAAAAACACTTTCTCATTCAGTTCTCCTATATGAGTATTATATTTACAACCATGTACATATATATATATA